GCTGTTGTCGCTGTTGTCGTTGTTGTCGCCGTTGTCGTTGTTGTCGGTTGACGGCATTATACAGCACGACACTACACTACTTCAAAAAGCTCCGCAAGGGTCGGATCACCAAGCTTGAAAAACACGGATCGGGAGTTTGTCTCATCTGAGCTGCGGGCAGAGACGCTGGCTGAGCACCTGGAAAAAGTTCAATGGAGAATTCGACCAACGACACTGATTCCTGAACTGCGGCCAAATTTGGGTGAAGTTTTCTGCGTGAGCAGGTCGGATTTCAACCGCACCGAGCTCAGGCAAGCTATTTCAACAATGGCCAGCGGTAAGGCAACAAAAACAGAAGATATTCCCGTGGAGGTTTTCAAGGTCTTGGCCATGGAACCCAACTCATCCTTACAATGGCTGTTGGATCTTTGCAACCATTGCTGGCGAGCTGCCGTCGTTCCCGATGAATAGTCCACAGCTTCAGTTGCGACGTTATTCAAGAAAAGAAACCCAGCCGATCCGAACAATTACCGACCAATTTGTTTGCAGAGTATTGCGTACAAGCTGTTTGTTTCCCTCCTCAAACAACGGCTTCTTGACGCAGCTGTACAGGCCAGACTTTAGCAATCACAATTTGGATTTAGAGAAGGTCATTGTACTGAAGACGCCATTTTCGTTCTCTTCGAAAAATCGAACAAGCTTGTGCCCAGCGAAATGGTCAGATCCGTCTGTTGGCCCTCGATTGTAAGAAAGCCTTTGACAGTACTAAGTTGGACAGCCTTCTTGATGCATTGCGCCGTTTCGGTATTCCTGAGTTTTGTCGGCAAATGATTCACAACATGATGCGTCATCGCCTGTTTTATGTCGAAGATCAAGGCAGCAAATCCAACTTAAAGTTCTGGCATTTCACAAGGATCCACTTTGAGCCCGCTTTTGTTTATCATCGTCTTGACGGTCTTGATGCACGATGCTGTTTCAACTCTAAGTGGTGCTGCACTGCTTGCATACAATCGTGGGGATTTGGCCGATACTGTTTATGATGATGATACACTGGTGCTTGGATGCAGGGCCGTTGTATGGCATGGAGCTTCACTGGGATAAGTTTCAATTGCTACAAGTGCAATGTCAGGCAATCATCCGGACTCGGACGGGTGAGCATATTTCGACAAAACTGGGCGTCGACTGTTTGGGATCTGTTCTCGGTCATGATTTGCTGCCCGGGCATGAACTTGGTCGGAGAATCGGGATGGCAAAGCGGAATTTTCTTGGGTTCCAAAACCTTTGGAATCATTCTTCATTATCGCGGGCTCGGAAGGTTCAAGTCCATAAAGCTCTTATTCTGTTTATCTTCCGCAGATCGTCGGCGTCTTGATGGCTTTCAATACGGTTGCTTGCGAAGTATTTTCGGCATCCCATCTGCTTTCATCTCGCGAGTGCCCAATGCGGAATTTCTGCGCTGAGCTCGTTACCCTGCTGCTACAGCTACAGACAAGCTCTTGAAACGACAACTCCATACTTGCAGCCTGCCACAAGTATGTACGTGAGAAGAGCGGGGAGGCCGCGACGAGAATGGGTCACATTTGTTAGGGACAAAGCATGTCAATCCCTAGAAAGCCACCGTGAGATAACCAGACTTGTGCAGAATCCTCATGTCTGGAATCATGCGATGTGCCAATTTACCTGTCCACGCGCCGCACGGCGTATGACCGACTCACTGACTGACACCACATAGCACAGCCCAGTCCGGACTGTACGCAACATTACATGACATTCAATGTTCAACATTCTATGCGTTTGCACGCATGGGTGAGTGCACGTATGTATGTATGTATGTATGTATGTATGTATGTATGTATGTATGTATATATGTATGTATGTATGTATGTATGTATGTATGAATGCATCTAAGTATGCAGTGTATACACATATAATTATCAGACACACAAGAACAAAATTCATAGTGTTTCGTGCGCTTCCGTGTATCAATGTATGTACAGAAAATCTGCATGCTACCTATCCAAGGCATGTGGATGGATGGATGGATGGATGGATGGATGGATGGATGGATGTACGCACGCGTGTATGTATGTGGACATAAGCACATTTACTGCGCATGCATTATACAGCGTATGTTTCAGCACTGGTGTGCTTTGCATTTTTATGGGTAGGGCAGGGGAGGTGACATGCTGAATGCAAACAAACCCGATCTGGTCTCCAAGACAATGTCTTTCTGCTTGGAGCTGTTTGACCTTGAATTTCCGAGGATGCGCTGCTGACAACTCCGAAGTGTCAGCAGCTCTGCGTTACTGAGAGTTTCTGCTCCGACCGGGAGGTGCGCCGGCGGGATATCGGGGGTGGTGCTCCTTTTTAGGATTGTTCGTTTTTCAGGGCTAGCTGCTAGCTGTTAGTGTATCTTGGCTGATTAACTATTGTTCCCCTTTGATCTTGGCTCAGTTCATCAGCGCGCCCTATGATTTCCTAGAGAGTGAACGGCACGGAAGGTCTTGGATGCAGAGATTGGGCATCTGCGAGAAGATGACGAAGAGGACACATTACAGCACTGTATTTAGTTATGGCCCTGTTGCGCGTTTCGCATCTGTCAGTAAGTATCATCTGACATGGGGTCAATGGGTTCTGAAAGCCTGTGATGCCACGCATCGCCGAAGCAGAATTCTTGCTTGTATCTGGCGGGCAGAGTGCCACGCAGGTCAGCCAGTCCAATGCAGGCAGCATCATGGGGAATCGAGACTGAGCCGCAAGTTCCGGGAATCAGAAAACTTGAACTCCCTGTTGCGGAGTCAGAGGGCTATCGGCGGATATTGAGCAGAAGGTGGACAGCTCATGAGCCGAGGAGGGCCCGTGGTCGTCTTGCAGGCAGTGCCCCTGCTTGGCCTCCATGCAGGGGATGAGCTGCTGAGGTGGGCTTGACCAGCTGTCCTGCCTTCGGAAGCGCTTTGAAGCGACAGGATCAATGGGGAGGATATCTCCGATCTTTACAGCTGCAAGGCCAACCACATCACGGTCACACAGGGTCACACAATCTGCATCGCATGTTGTATAGCGGCATAGCGAACTTGGGGAGTAGTTGGTGGCGCTCTGGAGGCCGCGCTGAAGACCGCCATACATCTCAGCCTGGAATTTCGCAGACCAGATACTGTCCCGAGCAGCTTCTGCACGACAGAGGCGGGATTGCCTCGATCTCTGCAGGCGCTGGTGTTTGGAGAGATGCACGAGAGATGTTCAGGTCGGGTCGCCAGCTCTGCTTATGAAGACATCGCGACGGAGCGACGCCTTGGGCCCGGAGCACGGCACTTCAGGGTATGATCGAATCGGGGTTCGTCTGATCAGGATTGGAATTCGGCCACCTCGACGAAAGACTGCAGCCGTGAAGTGCCGGAAGAAAGCTGGTACCAAAACTTGCACAGGGCTCAGCGCACTGTGTGGTAGCACAGCCTGCTGCAAGCTTTGTGCCAAGGTTGCTCAAACTGACTTGCACCGATGTCTCTCGACAAGCTGCATCACGCCAAGACCTGTTGGATCATTGATCCCATTCAGAAACGGACGAACACTTCGCCGGTGAATGGCTTCAGGTAGATAGTTCCCCCATGTTGGAGGTGCAAACGCACAGGCCTGGCCTGACTCCCAGCCGTCGTAAGACAACCGGTCCGTGGTGTGTACCAGGAGTTTCGATTCCAAAGATCTTCGGGACACTTGCAGCCAGCGACCCTCCTCCATGCGATTAGTTTCAAAGAGGGCTGGGGGACTCCCGATGCGAGTGCAGGACGCAGTCATGATCTGAGCCCGAAGCACGAGCGGATGCCGAATAAGAGGTATGAATGCAATGCAAGTACCACGTGAAGCTCACTGTGCCCAAAGAAAGGACAGTTCAACAAGACTTTTTCTTCTCGGATCTGGCAGAAAACTTGCCAGATGTCGGAAGATGCCTGGTCTCACGCTCTACAGAGGGTGCTGCCATGCTCCGGCCATGTGCACCTCATCAGGCGTGATCTAGCCCGACTGTCAGAGATGTCAATCTGGCATCATCAGTACTCACCGCAAGTACCATCAGCATCGCCATCATCTCCCGTAGAATCATAATTCTCACTGCCATTTCCATTGGCTGCAGCATCATCAACCATCAAGCCCACCACTCCACTGTCGTCGCCCAGACTTTCCTCTTAGATTTCGGTTTTTAGCTGTCCAGCTACAGGTGTCTTTCAGAACAGCTGCTCAGTGCCTCGGCTCGTGCAGCATCGATGCAGAGATGTACGGACCATAATCTAGCCGCTACTCCAGATTAAACTGAGAAGGTTTTGTTGGCGACTCTGACGAAGGCTGATAGCTTGCGCTATGGCATGTTAGTTGTGCTCCACATGCATGGTGGAATGCGCGCAGCGGCAGTTCCATGTTCCGAAAGCTCGAAGCTGATTCTCTCCACGCTGCACGCTCCAATGCATGTAGCGAATGTAGCGATCCAATACCAGTAGCTGAATGCCCCGTCAAAAGGCGCGGCAGACAAAGCCCTGCTTGGTGTGGACACAAAGAAGAGGGCTGCCTTGCTTTTGCACTCGTAGTGTGCCAACACATGAGAAAAAGTGATATGGTCAGTTGCTTCTTGCACACGTTGGCCGAAGGCGTGCAGTCACAGGTGTGCACTACATCTTCTTTGCAGACCAGCGGCCTTTGCTGAGCACCACCTACAGTACTGGCCTGTACATCAGAGCAAAATGCCTTGGCTGGACTTTCCTGTCTCACCTGAGCCCTACACTCCAAGCCCTAATCCGCTCAGTAAACCCAGAACATCGGAGGACAACCACAGATCTAAACCGCTTTGTCGCCATGAAAAAGCCTTGACGGCCTATCGGAGCTGTGAAGAGGAGGCCAGCCACGGAGCTGCCACCACCGCTGAGGACACTGCATCTCAAGTTGATCAGCATGCATCTCAGCTTTGCCAGCCTCAACACTTCATCCGCGAGCACTGTCATCGTTATCATGGTAATAGTCATCATCATCATCATCACCACCAGCATAAGCACCATCGTCAGTTAGTCATCGTCGTCGTCGTCGTTTCATGAACAGGAGTCGTAGTCGTAATGGTGGTAGCCATGGCAGTAGAAGGGGTAGGAGTACAAGTAGTTCTATGAGCGAAAATGGTGATGCTACTGGTAGCCGTAGTCGGAAGATTTAGTTGCTGGAAAACTGCTATATACATATGCATACGCCTGTACACCACATCATCTATCTTCATGTACATATCATGCATGCAGACACATGCGCCCCTACACACGACATCTACATGTGCTTATCTGTACACACAAGAAGGAAAATCGTATGGGCCTCAGGGAAGCCGGACGCAGAGCAGGCCCGACAGCGTAAGATGAACATTTCGAAACGAAAGCAACATACCAGCAACCCCCGGGGCCCCGGGATCGCGGGCCTCTCTCCTCTTCATTCGGATGGAATCGGGCCAGGCAGTCTTCTGCGCACCGGGCGGCTATGCTGCTAGGCCTGCGTGCTCCAGGCTCAGGTTAGATGTTCGTCCTGCCATGGTGATTGTTTGACCACAGCATTCCATGACATATTGTGTTCTAAAGCCAAGATGGTGTAGCATTTGAGGGATCTTGAGGGTAGAGCCGCACACTGGGTGGGCGGCCGTGGGATTTGCTGGGCGACCGCGTCTGGCATGAGCCTCTGGCCAACGCTGGTGTGGTCCGAAACCAAAACAATCATGACTTTGATGCATCAGCATGTGTCCCCGAGCTCATGTCATGGCTGGGTGTGGTGCATCATCTGATCAAGGCCAAGCATGCGCAGAGACAGCCAATGTGTTTCATCGATGTAGCGTTTGGAGCAGACATGGCGGTGAGCTATCATTGTCAATGGTGCTGTCGTTGCAAACTGCGGACAGCTTCATCACCGAATTAGGGCTAGAGGTTCTGGCGACGGAAGCGGACGTGAAATACGAGCTGTTTGGGAATTGGAGACGTGGACCGGGCTACAGCATCTCAAAATCTCAGCATCTAAAGCAGACTCCGACGGTCGCTCCACACCCAAGAAGGGTCCGCGTGTCGGAGTTGGAGCGCTGAAACAACCGCTTTGGCCGTGGTCGACGGGGGAGGGGGGAGATTTGATTTTCTGTTGTTGTCATTGAGAAGAGCTTACGTGGCGAGACTTTTTGTTTCTCTGCTGGAGGAATGGAGGCCTGGTGCAAAGGCCAACACCCGCTTCAGAATTGAGACAACAGACCCCCCGTCTCCACCGGCACGCAGCTTGCAGCATCGACTTGGAATGGATTCATCACCGTGGCTAGCGGCTAGGTTTCGTTGGCACCATCACTCAAATCCAATCGCACATGGCGTTATCGAACTTGCCAGATTGATTCAACTAGCGTTGGTGAGGCCGTTTTCCCCTATCCAACCCTAACGCTGCGCAGCTTCGGCTCTACAGCTCCATTGACATGGATTGGCCGGATCTGCATACTGTGACACAGACCTGCAATGCATGGCAAGGCTCCATGATAAAGTCAGGGCATTCTGGGGACAAAAACCGTTGCAGACGGGACATATGTCTCGCATTGTTTTTTGGTGGCGACGGCCGGCAGCGGACTCATCGAGGTCTCCATTTTCCAGTCGTTTGCCGAGGCCTCCTCGAGGGCTTTGCTGCGACCAGCAGGCCCCCCCCCCGGTGACAGTCCGCTTCGGTTTGTTTGGCTGCGAGCATTTTCTGAGGCGCTCGGCAGGTCGTGTGGCACAGGCCGAAAGTTGTTGTTACCCATGTCTTACGAGTCGCATTCGTCGCAAAGACAGGAGACTGCCTTGTCTCTGTGGGGTCCGCCACTTCAGCTATGCCAGAAGCAAAGCCTTTCAGACCGCAAGATGCTGTGCGATCAGTACTTGCATAGCCAAGGTGCCGGACGACAACAAGCCGCTGACAGCAGCGCAAAGAGGCCGAATCGAACGTGGCCTCGTAGTTCGCGGTTGCAACTTTTCTGCACGGTGCAGGCGCCCTGGAGCGCCAGGAGGCCGCTGACGAGCTGCGCACACTGCCACAGCCATCCACCTACTGAGATGTACAGTACGTGTCATGAGTCATAGGTGGCAAGATCATGAGAAGATCATGTACATGCATCCCAAACCTTCTGAAGCCAGACGGGACTTCCTGTGCCGAATGCAAGGCAGTTGCAGAAGTTTCCTCCGAAGGAGGGTGCTGTTATCTGCCGGGCACACAACCGCCCAGCTGCGTCAGCCGGGCCGCATGCCCAGAAGCGCTGTGCGTTGCGGCTGCAGCATATATCTTTCAGAACATCACATGCCTGAAGCATACATGCTCAAGACGGCAATTCATTCGATCAACATGTCATGAACATGCAGGGGATGGGGTTGCACTTCCGCATTGCTCCCTGGTCAGAAACATTACAAAAAGGCGGGATTCTATTCCTTTAATCGGCAGAGATGTCACGAGCAGGTTCTTTCAACGTCTTCACACTGTCCTTGTAAGCTATAGATCGGGATTTCCAAAAGTTGAGTCCACTGCTCTAGACGGATCCAGTGGTGTCTGCATGTTAGATCTCCAGCCTCATGGCGGCGCATGACCATCTGCCTTTGTCGGGTGTTCGCGTGCTCGAGCTGTCCATCGCCATTGCTGTCGCCCATCCAACTTAGAATGTAGATGTGCAGATGTGCATTCCGGCAAGCCTCTTCCAGAAGAGCACGTCTCCAGGTTTTGAGCCTGAACGCAAGCAAGTGCCGTGTGTCGCTGTTAATAGCCATGTGATTCATTCAGCCAGTGCTTACCCGTTTTTCACGGATAGACGTTGCGACCTTTGCTGGCAGAGGCTCCGTCGGCAGGTCAGGTGCTCGGTGACGCCTCGGCTGCAGTGGATCTTTGCATGTCTGCACATTGGGATAGCATGCTGCAGCGCCGCTTTTCCGGCCCGAAGATGCTTGTGTGGCGCCCAGGACTATGGCGCAGACGTGATCAAAGTGGAGCCTCCTGGGGGCGACACGCAGCGCTACATGGTCAGCGGGCTTCTGGATTGAAATTTGGAGACAAACGTTTCATGAGGAACGTTTTGAGTTTTTCTTGCTCAAGGCTTGGCAAGTCCAGCGCCGACCCGAAACTTGGACTGTTGGATCGTGAGTGTAGACTTTGGCGTGCTGCTGAGCTCAAGGTACCAGCATTCTGCACATTTCTATTCCGTCAACCGTGGCGTGAAGCTCAGAGAAGCCAAAGTGAGCAAAGCCAAGTGGCGCATATGGCACTTATGTGCGATGAGGGAAGCGATCCATCGTCTTGAATCTGAAGGCGAAGGTTGGCGACAGCCGACTTCCCTTTGCACTGTAAGACTGTAAGCCGTGAGGGAGAACTGCGATTTTTTCGTGCATCTTCTTTCGCGAAGGCTGGGCTGCTGGCGCTACATGCGCTGCTCGAGAAATCGGACGTTTTCATCTCCAATTATCGCTTTTCGGCAGCGCTTAGGCGTATGGATCTTCCGTTTCGGTCGAGAGAGGGGCGGAGTCCCCCGGTTTTTTCTGCTCGTAGCCAAGGCTACGAGTCCTTGCAACGCCTCGGCCTGGATGAAGGCCTACTAGCGAGCCGCTACCCGCGGCTGATCTTCTGTCCAATGACCGGATGGGGATTTCATGGTCCGAACGCCAATCAGCCCGTCTACGCTGCCCGGCCACATCGGAGCTGCAAAGTCTCGATAAACCCGAGTGCTGCGCACCCATATGTCTCCGAGGACGTCTCTGGTTTCTGGGCCCGATCTGGTGCTGCGGCCTCGCACACAGATGCCAACGGTTACCCGGCCGTGCTGGCTCCGGGTTTTGGTGACATGGCCACTGGCCTTGCAGCGGTGGGAGGCACACGTGCAGCCTGCGAATGTCTGCTGCCTGTCGTCGTGGTCCCCGGACTCGCCAGGCATCTGCGCGGCCCTCTTTGCGAGGGAGAAGACTGGTAAGGGGATGGTGCTGAGCACCAGCCTGCTCCGCACGGGTGTGCACTGCAACTCTTGGGCCCCCTGACTGCAGGCCAGGTTTGTGTTTGCAGATTGCAGGCAGATGGTACTGTAGTTGCTGGCTTGTTTTGTAAGTAACGCCTCGATCGTGAGGCGCTGAGCTCATACTTTGCTTTCGGCCGAGAGATCAAGTGGGGCCGCCGCGACGGCACAGGCAATCCTCTTGCCACGGTCTATCGCTGCAAGGATGGCAGGGCCTTCTGGTTGACCGGCTTCGAGGCGGATCGTCATTGGCCAGCGACTGTCCGTGCTGTTGGCCAATCACAGTGGCTCAACGACGCTCGTTTCGCCACGGCCAGATCGAGACGGGAGAACCAGCGACAGCTTGTGGCCGAGTTGGACGCTGTCTTCGCCACAAAGACCCGTGAGGAGTGGGCTGCACTCTTTCAGTCGGAGGGAGTCTGGTGGGCACCAGTCCTGACTGCCGCAGAAGCCTTCCGGCAGATATACGAATCCCCCTTTGAGTTTATGTTTTTTTTTCTGTCGCCTACCACAGCTGTCGAGCCGGCCCGCCACTTAGGTGGCTGCCGACCAGCAAGCACTTGCAGCAGGATCCTTTGTCGAGTCCCCGCTCTCATTGACGGCGAGGGAGGCGGGAAGGACAAAGGCCACTTGGAGGCTTTTTGCGCATCGCAGCATAGCGCAGCTCACCTTCGAGGAACACCCTGAAACCCTGAAACGTCTGCGATTCGTCAAGGTCACGATGGCAGCCTCGCCGGTTGACTTCATGAATGCTCCAAAGACAGAGCCGAGACGCCCAACTCCTGAGCTTGGGGAACAGACTGAGGCACTTCTGTTTGTGAGCCTGCGTCCCTGGTCCCGGTCCTTTTACCGACAGGAGATCCTGATGGAGCTCGGCCTGAGCGAAGGGGTTCGGGACGAGATCCTGAGCGAAGTGAGACCTAAAGCCAAGCTGTAAAAAGTGCTCGGGTGGGCCCTGCTAGGGCAACAGCATGCAACAGCCGCGACTCACTCGTGACATGCTGACACGTTTGTGGCTTTGAGCGGAAGAGGTCAAGATTTCCGGAGCAGCTGTATCCTGGTTGGCTTCTCAGTCACAGAGAATCGAACATCGCGGTTGATTTTCAATCAAGTCTTTCTGCACATAGACGGATCATCGCCACGATTCGTCAGTCGACATGAGACGAGGTCACCCTCACAATTTCACTCCACTGCGACCAATCCGGACTGGTTTCTCAGCCTTGGATCGCGCTCGCCTGCCTTGATTAAGGGTTGCTGCCACCTTCTGATCCTTCAGCTCGAAGTTTGCGACGGGAGGCAGTGCGCGAAGTGGCGTGGGAGTCCCGCTTCGACCTCATGGAGAGGAGGATCATGCCCGGCCCTCGGCCCGCACGTCTCGGAGGCCTGCGATAGCTCGCGTGACCCTGGTCCTAGAGACTTTGAGGCCGAGATACGCTGCCCGAGCCTGAATGCTTTGCGTCGAAAGGGCTGCAACCCTTGGTCTTTCATGCAGTCGCAGTCTGCAATTGTCGTCGAATGCGAGGCCGAGTGCATCGGAACCCCGCGTCGTGAAAACCAGGCTGGGTGCGCCTGGAACTGCGAACAGTCAAGCAGACTTGGGGCCAGTGAGCCGGTCTGAGAGTCTGAGAGCTTCGAGAGGATGGGCTGGTCCGCGGCATTCGTGTTCGTCCCGTCCAGAACCCCTTCGTGAGGCAGCCTTTCTTGGGCTCAACAGAACGCTCGTGACTCCATGCAGATTCATAGGACATCATAGGTTCTTGCATCTGTCAGGCTGAAGCCGGCGATGAAGTATCGCTTGAACACCTGGTACCCTGCTTCACAATGGGCAACCTTGGCAAATAATGTGTGCCAATTTTACGACTCAAGGCAATCCCGGAATTGGAAGCAATGGTCGCCAGGGCCACGGCGGCGTCTGTGAATGGGTCACAGGGTGTAGGTAGGCAGTCGGCATCTCCTTATCCACCGTGGCTTGCGCCTTCGCCTTCACTATGTCAGGCCAAACCTTTGCAACGTCCGCGGAAGCCGCCGAAGGCTTTAGTGTTGTCCGCGATCTCAGATATCTGCACAGCCTACCACTGCTTGCAGGTACCGCGTTCCTCAGGACATTGCCCCGTACAAGGACGAGCTAGGCGAGTGGCATCCCCCACGCGTGTCTGGCAGATACAAGGCCAGGGTGCTTCCCAGTTCGAAACTGACTGCTACATCGCAGAGTCGCAGAAGGTTCTCTGTAAGTGTCTGAGCTGAAGGCTGACATTGAGAAGCAGTATTACCTCAACAGCCTTCCCTGGGTGTGGGCAAATGACTACTACCAGGGAAAGCTGCACTACATGGTCCTGGCCTTAGCAACTCCGCCACTCTTCTGCAGACTGCTTGTCTCATACGACGTCTGAAGCTTGGAGACTTTCTCCGCCCGGTAGGACAGAGAGCCACATGGACTGAAGCGCTGGTATCGAAAGGAGTATCGCCAGGTGGGTGCCGCATGACACCTTATGTCAGCAGTTTCTGCCTTTCCTTGGTCCGCGCAGGCTCAAGTTACAGAAGCTCTAAAGCGAGCAGATGAGATGATCGAAGATTACCGCAAGGAGAGAAGACAGGCGGGCTATTTAGATGCTTTCTGAAAGCTTGTGGCAACACGGCCATCGCTGCAGGGAAAGCGCTTATCTTGGGTGGAGAGCATCGTCAAGGAGTGCGGTGCCGAGCACTAGATCCGGCGCTCTAGGCTTTAGTGCCTTTGGGATTTTGGTGCCTTTGTTATGTCATACTTGGATCCTATCGGTTCTTCACTCTACTTGGACACTGGCTCCTCGCTGACTCAAGGTTTGCTGGCGACCAACTGGCTGCCCCATATGTTCGGGCGCGGAAGAAGCACCAACCTCAATGAACTCCGAGACAAGCATCTCCAGCCCTGCGTGACTACTTGCCAAGGCCAAAGATGTGATCCCCAGCAGATTTGATTGATGCCGGAAAAGTGTAAGCGTAACCTGCTCCTTTGCACACTGGCTTTTCTACAGTTTTGGGGCAGCTCGGTTTGGTTCGTGCCTGTTGTTTCGCTGAGTTTCTGACTGCTGCTGTTTCCGTGCGCTTGATTCAGGTCTTGGCTCGTTTGGTTTCCGACCAATGCACCTGCAACAAAGTGTGGACACTGTTGCATGTTGAAGGAAGTCATCTACAGCCATACTTTCCACACTGAGCAACACCCTTCCACTAGACCTGACAGATACGACTACGCATGACACACCGCCTACCATCTCAGGACCTGAAAAGAGCTTTGTTCGTTCGTTGCCTTTGCACAAAGCACCCTTCGCCGGTGCTGGCATTACATAGATGCGGGAGCGCATGTGAAAATGGGTGATGAGCCCGTCGCGCCCCATGACGGAGTGGCATCCCTGGTTGGTTCAGAGGCTGCCTTTGCAGTCATCAACGAGGCCGGCGTGCTCAAGCGCCTTCGACCAAAAGTGCTCGGACGCCACCGGGAGGCGTGGTTTCACGTTCTTGCCGGGGACGGCGACGCAGCAGACCTTGCAGCGGCTCCCGGATGCTGGAAACCCGGTGCTCGGCCTTCGATGCGACACGCAAGTTCAATGGCCGTTTTTGTCAGGTGGCACGCCGGCTTTGTTAGACCTCCTCACAGGAGTAGAACTGTCCACAGGCCCCCAGAAGTTGGATTGTGCGCTGCTTCGGACGGTTTGGAAAGCCTATGTTACCACGTTGCTTGCAGGTGTCCTGGGAGCATACACGCCAACGCTGCTGCAGGGGCATGCAGACCTCCTAAATGATGCATCTAGGCAGCATTTTCAGCTACGACCGTGCGGGTTAGTGTTTGCATACCTACAGAGTGGCTGATGTGGCCCATGCCAGGCTTGTGGTGGCTGTTCAAGCATCCTCTTGCGCAAAGAGGACCAATGCGTGCAAGAGTTGAGTTCCTTCGAATGCACTCTAACGGCATCTCGAAAAGGAGTGGGATCGCTTGATGTGGGGTGTTCGAGAGCTGTGGGGTCCAAGCCAAGTCCTGCGGAAGGTGCCGCCGCGGCCATTCGCATCTCCACTTGTTCAAGAGTCAAAGTTTGTCCTTTCTAGGCCGTCGTAGCAGTTGGACGCGACAACCGCTCGCTGCTGGCGCAGCTCGCGGCTTGCCCCAGAATTGGATGCCGACAGTGCTTCTTTGTTTTCCTGCAAAGTGTGGCCCCGCGCCGTGAGAGTTTTGAGGCCTGGTCTGAACCATTGGAACCGACCCGTCGCGCAGCCCTCGTGATGCTGCTGCAGGCGTGCATCGCAGTGTCGTCTACGGAAAATCTGAGCGATTTGACGCCAGGCCGCTGCCCACTTGGACCACGGCCGCGAGGGCCCGTTGGCCATGCTGAAGCGCCTGCTTCCAGATGGTGAGAGCCTGGTGGTCCGAAGCAAAGTTCATCCTACGACTCTGTCTCTATATGCGTGTGGAAGATACGCGCATAGGCTTGTAGCAGGGGGAATGCCTGGAACACCGAGGCACGGCCGGAAATGCAGAGCCTTGGCTTTGATCGTGCATTTCTTCGGAGTTCGAGTATGTAGTCCATCTGAAGCGCCACTGAGACTGAGGCAGCTGATGTCCATGGTTCCCGCGATGAGCAGTTCCAGAAGTCACTGGCTGCTCGCCTACACGTCTTGGCGAGAGGCCAACGGGCGAGTGATTCAGACTTGAGCTAAGGCGGCGGCGTCCTCCTCCTCCCGACGTGTTGTCAGGCGCGACATAGCCTAGGCTTGTGTGTAACCCGAGGAATGCGAGATTCAGCGTTTTTGCCCGTCTTTGCGCAGGAGATGTTTGCCCTCCTTGTGTGGACTCGGTGGAGCACATACGGGAGATTCCTCCGCAGGCCGAAACCTGATGTTGAGAGCGTTTGGAAGCTGTAGCAGAGTTGCATGCTGTTTTCCAGGACATGCTGATTGTGCCCAAAGCTTTACCTGTCCGATACTTGGAGGACTAAGGTTGCAGCCCACAAGTGGAACTGAGCGGTGTCTTAGGCTGAAGCTTTTCTGGGTGGCTCCTTGGTCACACAGCAGGCGAGTCCCATACAGAAATTCGCCATGTGAATTGAGGGGCTTCATGCCGGCATGCTTGCCATGATGTTGCCAGGACGAAGCAGCCGTCTTAGCCGGACTGCCGCCACCTCCCACAAGGCTGCCGAACCAGCAAACGAAAGGAAGCTGGAATCACAAGAGCTGAAGGGTCTTGCATTTCTCAGAAGTCTCTGGAGGAAGATCGGCTCCAACATCAGTCAAGGTGTTCTTGTACAGCTTCGGCCACCGGAGGCTGCACAGTCGGCCGTCATGTCCGCGAGAGGTCCGTAGGGTGCCCCAACGTATCAGGATCCTGCGGCATGCGAAGCCACCCAGCGCCTCAGCGGAACTTAGGCTGCACAGGGTTGCGGCCGCGGTAATTGTGCGCAAAGGTGCTGCATCTGCATGGAGCAGTTCAGCGCCTGCCAGCTTTGGCATTGTGGTCGCGACGTTTGTGGCGGGAAGGCTTTGCCGCTGTAAAGGCTCAGTCGGCTCCGTGGCCGTGAGAGTTCGAACCAGGCCTTCTGCTCCAACTGCCTACGACAGCACGCTGAGGCACGGCTCGAGTAAGTTTTTTCGTCTTTCGCGAAGCTGGCTCTGCAGGCGGTCATAGACAGTGGGCTTTACGCCGCACCTGCCGTGCCCAGCCTTTGTTTGAGCTCGTGTTCCACGTGCTAAAGCGCTGCCTCTTCCGTGCTTACGCAGCGTGCCTCAGGTGCGTTGCCCAGTTTGCAACCTTCGCCTAGCGACAACAGCTTGGGCGCCTTTAGTAAAGGCGGGGATCTTGTCTTGATTCAAACTCGAAGCGAAAGCGAGGCAGGTCCTCTGCTACCATGTTCACAGGAGGAGACGTTTGCCAAATACCAGGAAAATGCCCGAGCAGTTGGCTTAGCTTCACCACTGCCTATCGCTTGGCCGCTTGCATGACCACCACGCTGTTGGCAGGCTCTCCTCACATACAGGTGTGCAGCCTGCGACGAAACAGGTTCCTACCTGAGGCCTGGCATGGAAGGCACGGGCAAGTTAGCTGCAGCGCACATCACCGCCGGTCAACATGCAGCCACTGTCAGCTCTGGAAGGCCATGCCAGTGCCGGAAAGCCTTTCGGCATGCTTGGAACCGAGGCCCGAGAATCCATGCAATGCTGCGAGAAGTGTTGAAGTTTGAGTTGCTGTGATCCTTGGCGAAGGCACGCGAGCGGCTCTGGATTGCATGGGAAGCTTTCTTCCTAGCAGAGGCGAACTCCGCGCGCCGGACGGCGCATTAACGCGCATCCAGTTCCCCCAGCTCTGCAATCAACAAATCGTAGGTGCCTGCAGAGAAGTTCCTGCAGACGATCCTGGACGAGTTTTCCTGTGGGCACCGCAAGGGTGGGGCCCCGCCCAGCAGCATGAACAAGGCAAAGGATTACTTATGCACTGGGCCGGGCCAAGCCCAGATGTGTGCTCTCGAACGAAAGGTGTTCGGTCCGAGTGGCCAAGCCAACTGGATCGAGGACCTGGAGTCAGCGAGCCCATTTTCTCGGCCCAGTAGACAAGATGACCTGATATGGGAGGTAGGCTCTTCGTAGCTTCGTGGACCTCAGGCGACGATTAGCCCTCCAACTGGCCTGGCTGCACCGTTTCCCACGACAGCGTGGCGTGCTAAGTGCAGCGGATCTCTGACTTGTGCAGGTTGCGGATCCTAGTTGTGCTTTCTGCTGAGGTACCCCTTGCTGTGGGGAGCACTTGGGCCGCACCTGGAGTACACCTTTCGAAACTTCTCGACTTCACGTCCTAGCTTACTGGATGGCTTCTCTTGCCGAGGCAGTTCTGCTTCCGCTGCAAAGTGTCCTCGTGGCACAGAGGAGTCACCTGCCCAACGCCCAGTCAATATTGTCAACACATGGGAAGAACAGTCTGGTGCAGTAGCGCGAAATGCACCTAACTGGATTGCGATGCGCGGTCGAGTTCAGCTCTGCCGCGAGGCAACGAGCGCCTGCGCTCTGAAAAAGCGCGGCAGGCTTTCCTCGCTGAGAACGAACGCCACGTGTCGCGGCACGTTGCGCTCTCGCTCGCATCGAATCCTCGCTTCCAGGCGCAGCTGTGTCCCGGATGCGGGGTACCAACACAGCGCAGCGAGGGCTGCCGCAAGATCACCTGCGTGTGCGGTCGTGTAGTCCCGGCATGTTTGGGCGCATCGCAGGGCGCAGGGTAGCTGCCTTGGTCAATCTGGCTTGGCACATGGTGGCACCGGCCGCAAGGTGTGGGAATGGGAGGGGATCGACGGCGACAGCAGCGATGAGGACCGTGCTGCCGGTAGCAACAGAACTTCGCCTGAGCTTTCCTGTCAATGCGGAATGTCGTGTGATGCTGGCAGGAGGGCATTTTCTCGGAAGACTCCGGGGCTGAGGACCGTACGTCGTAAGTCGCAAGGCCAGTGGACTTTGATTTCTTTTGTGCTCCGATTGTTGAAGAGGATGAGATGCAAGCACAGACTGCAGTCAACCTCGTTGCGATGAACAACAAGGTGCAATGCAGATCATTCACTCACAGAGCCAAGGGCAGAAGCAACCTCAGATGCAACTGTGAAACCGTTTGAGGTCTCGGACGAAACAGCGGGGTCCCTGGATTTTCACATCCACTACACGCCTTCGTCCGCTTCATCCTTTAGCATGTGCCTGCTGGAGGTCCGCACTCTGATCCAGGCTTTGGTGAATGCCGGAGCTGACGCTGCTTGACTTGAGCCAAGTAACAGTACGGGGCACCAGGCTGTGCCACTTGTTGTCGTCATTCTATGGAGTGGCTTAGGTCAACGGCTGGCCCAGTGAGAGATGTCCTTTGCTACTTGCAGTGCAGTGCCGACTTCTTACTTCCCAATCTGGGCGCCGTCATCGTTGTAAGGCAGTCTTTCCAAGTCGTGCTTCGATGGCTTCGTTTTTGTTCTCAGATGTTAGGTCGAAACACCGCCGCGGTTGCCGCGCTTTGTGAAGTGGGAGCTCGGGTAACTCCCGAGGCAGGACGTGGTGGCTTGGAAGACATCTCTGTGCAAGTATGCCCATAAGGGGCATTTTCAAACCAGCAGGTGTTGGAGGAGCTCAAGGGTGTCTCGCTGGAGTGGCAGCGCTGCGAAATGGAGAGGCGGGCAGGTGTAAAGCCCGATATTGCCTCTGGCCGTGAGGGTTGTAGATTGTACGTAATATCTCTGTTGCAGCTCCGTCCAGTGCAGCTCAGAGCAAGAAGACCCTCTTTGAGTCCAGCGCGGGGCCTGTAACTAGGGAGGTCCCGAGACCGTTTGCCAGCAGTTTTCGTCCTTTCTTAAAGGAACAAGGTTCCGACAGGGGCTACCATGAACAACATCTGGCGGTCTCAGTGTTTGTAGGTCTCGTTTGGGTGGGGTGGGCATGGGTCACGCGGTGGGCCAGGCTGATGCGTCCGCAAGTGCAAGGGGATCCGAACATGAGGCGCAGCCGCACAGTGTTCTAAAAGCACAAATCCACGTTGCCAGTTGCAGTCCCATGCAGACCTTTCCCAGTCACCAGGCTGCCGCTGTGGGTTTGGATTCAAGCTGGCAGCCCGGTGAACGTATCTTACCATCAAACCTGATCATGTCATGCGCGATTCGCAACGGTGCTAGGCCGGAAGCGCCGCAGCAGTGGAGGTCGGAAGCTTGGGCTTTGTCGCAAGCGGCTTCAAGCCGTATCCGCAGCCGAGTTCAGTTGTCAACATGCAGACACATAGGTGCGGGTCAAGAGTTTCAGAGTTACCATGTCTTTTCAAGTGCATCGAGATGAGACCAGATGCAAACAGTTCTCACCATGACCTGTGTTGGAGACAGGCTTTGCTTCGCAATGCGGCGCATGAGGAGGCAGTGGGCGAAGATGTGTTCATCGCTTTGCAGCGGAGCAGCCTTTTGGCAGCATTGCCGAAATCTGCAGCCTGGCACAGTAGAAACCAGCGCACGCCAAGGCGGCGATGATGACAGTCCGCAGCCTCGATGCGCTTGACATCTCGCTTTGCTTCCTGGTCCAAGAGCCAGGTCGCAAGCAGATTGCGGAGCATCTTCGAGAGCATGTCGGCGAGGAGCCTGCCCTTTTGCTCTTCTTTCGTTCTTGCCTTTGAGGAGAGGGAAAGTGCGAGGCTTTTGGCCTAGCTTGGAAGAAGCAGGGTTACCTAAGCTTGATATGACAGTTTCTCGGTGGCCCAGGCACAAAATGGAATTCGGAATCATGGGGTAGTTACTTCAGCAATCTTGAGCTCAAAGCTGGCCGGTTGCATGTAACTCTTCGAAGCATCACCTCCTCGACTCTTGCTGCTTTGCTTACCCGTTAACTTCATCCACCCGAGCTTGGGTTTGGTCGAAGGAGAAAAGTCAGTTTAAACAGACGGTTGTGCTTGCAGGCATGGTCACAACATGGGCGGGGTACTTGGGCTCTACCAGACTCTATCACAAACCACTTACTGCGATCCCACTAGAAACAGAGTGCCCGCAGCTAGGCGTAAGTGTTCAGCAGCATGATTTTTGTCGAAGTCTCCGCTGGCTCTTTTGCCAACCGGCTCGTGCCACTGGATCGGCCCCATGTCAGCCCAAGTGTCTGCAGACCCGACTGCTGAAGTCAGCCGATTCGCCCTTGCTCAAGCTGCTGAAGCCAGATTATGCCATTATGCTTCACGGCGCTCACGGTCAGGACGGCTGTGTCTGCGGAAACTATGTACACAAATTGACAATCATTGCCTGGGAATCCATGAGGAAGGCAGAGCAGGCACACTCACAAAGCGGGCAACATCCACAAAAGGATGTGCAGCTTCTAGTGACATGTAGATCAGTTGCCTCACATGCTGTACGACGTAGAGCCTCTAGAATTTGGTTAGAAGGTGCCAATAACCCACAAGTACAGGTAGTGCCCAAGATCTGCCACATGCCAACATGGCGGGCTCCGGGCTCTTCAACCGGACGCTTGGCACGAGGGCAGCCTCTAAGCTCTTCCTGAAGATTTCACATCAGCCCTTGTACTCAGATCGAAGGTCGTAGGACTGCTTCATTGCACGAGGAACCGCATACCGCTGGATGCCACGGAGCCCGAGCCCCGCGATGTGGCGGAGGTCTGCTGGCAACAAAAAGCTGCAGATGTGCGGGCTATGACTGGGGCCACACGGGATGAAAAGGCAAGCTGGGCAGCTTTTGGCGAAGTCTGCACTTAAGAGAGAGACCCTACAGTAGGTGCCGGATTTGGATGCCCTACTGGAGACAGATGGGATGCAGCGCAGGCCGATATCTCGGGCGCCTCGTCAGTTTAAGTCAGAATTCTCTGGAGCAGAGCGTGCCAGCAAAGCCTTAATCTGCCCACTCAGCAGAACCATCTGGCTCTTGGCACACTCTGTCCAGAATGCATGGGAATATGGACCTGACACACATCGGTCAGTTTTATGAGCGCTGTCAGCAGCTGAGGATGTCGCTGCGCTGGATAGATCCGAGGCGGCCCCGCAGGTGCGCACGTGCATTTTCTTCTGCCTGACTTGCGTGCCAGACCCTCCCTCCCTAGTCAAGCAACGCAGGCCATGCTGGCCAGAGAACCTGGGCTCCAAAGAAGTCAATCTGAGAGCAAGCGAGTTCATTGACAAGCCGAGGAAGTCCCACCCAAGAAGGAGAGACGAGTTTGCCTGGTTTCCCTGCGGGCTTCTGGTGCCGGCATACATGCCTGCAATCGGGATTACCGATACTGTGGCTTGCACCAGGGCAAGCCAATGTTCAAGGCAGACAATGGCGCGGTCATTTACTTCAACAAGATCCTTGACCGCACGTTTGGAAGCGGTTTGTATTTGTTTTTGGGGGTTGATTGCACAAGATCCATTTCGAGTACAGCTTACAACCTTTCCGATTCCGACTGCTACGTTGACGGGCTCCACACAAGGGGATGTCAGTACAGCAGCTCAGGGACACCACGAGGTTCAACCGAAAGAGCAGAAGAGCCTTTAGGATGCACCGGTGCGTGGGCACGCCGGCACGACAGGGGCACGCACTCCCTCTATGTCGCGAAGAAATCAGCCTCGAAGTAGATAGTGAAGACTCACAGAGACAATCGCACTACTAGCGACAGCAAGGTTCTTTCGAGAGTCATGCAAACGTGCCAAAAGCAGCAAAGAAACACAGACATCATCATGCTGCGCCTGGGTTTGCTTGCTTGCAAGCATGGCCCGCCTACCCCGGCTGACACAGGTTCTGGAAGATGAACAGCATCTACAAAACTACAGGCCTGGAGTGGTCGAGTAGCTGCTTGAGTAGCAGGCGTGCAAGACCCGGTGTGACAGGATGGGTCTACAGCGTGAAAGAACATGCTGGACCATGGCCTGCCGAAACGCAGTGGATCGCCGATGGCACGGCGGAGCCGAATGCTGCTCGGCAACGGAGCATGTTTGATGGGGTTTGACTGCGAGTGGTGGCCGTCCTGCACCTTTCCCGGTAAGTTGCAGACTGCTTTGCTTCACCTTCGTTCCATTTTGCAAAAGTTGGGCTCGAAGCTTGCTGCCTTTTAAGCACTGCACAGGTGTTGTGCAGTCCGCCAAACAAAACAGGTCAAAGGCATGCGTTCTTTACCGAACACAATAACAAGATCACAGAGACTCATACAGAACACGCTTGTGTTTTCAGTTGCAGGCAAAACGCAGGTGTGAGCGGGTTTGACTCTACGGTTTGACATGTCGTCTCAAGACTGCTGGTCGCATGTCTTGCTCAAGGGCATTGTCTACGTTTGCACGCGCAGAACGCATAATCGTCACAGGGACGGGCGCATGGGGAGACCAGGGCAGGGACAGTTGCGAAAAGGCGGCTGGCTGTTTCGAGCACCGACCCTCCTTGTTTGTTCATCTGTCGTGTTCGGCGCTATTGTTCTTCTGGCGTCCATTCCCCAAACTGCCAGCATTGTGCGGGACCATCTGGGAGGGGGGGGGGGGGATTTCGAAATCTGGAATGCGGGTTCTTTCTACACTTATGGCGGAGAGCATCCATGGTCTCTGTGCAAGGCTGGAACTCCCCCGAGCCTCTTGCTGATCGACGAGTGGCTTGGCAGCGCTGCCCTCTCGCTATGAGCTATCTCTTTGGCTATCTCTATCTGCATCTCTTGTCCTCATAGCCATAGCGTGTCCATATTGAGAAAGATTGTTCCAGATTTTTTAATTCTTTAAAGCATCACCGAAAACGTCCGTGGAAGATGCAGTAGTTTCCAAGGCCCTTGCCACGGCAAATTGCCGAAGAGAGTGCTGCTCTTGTCTTGGAGGATGGCCAGAAGGCTGGGTTTACAGAAAACTCGGTCCTGCAGGGTTCTATAGTTCGGATCCTAATGTTTCCTAACAATGTATCCTAATATTCAGGGTGCTATATATTCTAGGTCCCCTATTTGCTGTTGCTCCCAGGTGCTGAAGAGGGAAGAGAACAAAAGGTGGCGTTGGAACGAAGTGTGTCATGGCATTGATTAGGAGTTCGACAAATGACAAGTTTTGTACGCAGTTTAGTAATCGCTCAAACCGGGATAGGAACTGCTTTGTTATTGGATGGTAGGGTAATGCAGTTCAACAAGATTCCACAGGACTCCGGCCACATGTCAGCAGGTACATACGCTCGAAGGAGGACATTTTGAAGAGCCTCGCCAGCGGGATGAACCACAGTGCACCCGGGTACAGCCAGCAGCCTGCGCCAGCGCCGGCGCCGAATGCGATGCCGCCTCCGAGCGCAGCGACCGCAGCACCCCCTCCAGCCCCTCCCACCCCTCCCGCCCCTCCCACAACACGAGAAACCCAAAGCCCAGCGGAGGCTCCAAAGTCTACGACCCTCAGACCTGGCTTCCTGACTGGGGGCTCAAGGGCAAAGGAAGTTACCCAGAAGGCACAAAGACAGCCGTCTCAAGCAATTGTGCTGGACTACCCTGATGGTGCCATGGTCGAGTTCGATCGCTTCTCAAATGGCTGCTCAGCTTTGCTTGAAAAGAGCCTCTGTTAAACCGTCAACATGTAGCTCTAGGGGGAAATTGATAGCAGACGATCTAGGCAAGGAAAGGCACCAAGACTGACCGGAGTAAGGTCGATGGGTCCCGGCGAAGATTCTTCATCGTGTTCGCAATGGAATCTTTGAGCCGACCTCAGGTAGACGGCACTAGCATGGTCGACGAGGGACTGACCATGCATTAGTTTCGCATCGGTTTTATGCGATTCTTCGTTTTTCATCAGCTAAGCGGCCGAGGACTTGGACGTCGAGCCGCAGGTGCCTGCCACGAAGATTCGATGGCCCAACGGCCAAGCGCCTCCCAGGACGCTGAAGCACACCTCTTTGAGTGGAGCTTCTTGCCTTGGAGCTTGACGGTGTTGGAACCAACTGGTTGGAGCCACAGCCCCTTCCCTAAGCGTTTGGGATGTCAAAGGCGATGCCACAAGCTGGGGAGTCTGCGAAGGTGGCTCGCTTTTTGCTTCGCTGTGAAAAGGGGAGTAGCTGGGTGGCGCTGCACCCCATGTTGCTCCAAGTCCCATACCTGCAAGGTGAACCCAAAGACACAGTCGGAGGATCCAGTCTTTCACGTTGGCGCAGTCGTCGACTACGCAACTCGGCAAGGCATCTATGGCCATCTCAGAGTCTCAGTGAGGCCTCCTCTGCAAAGACATCTCTAGTCTAAATCACCGCAAGCACTTGTGGGCCCGATCTGGAGCGGAGGATGACTGCTCGAACGACGGCTGGATCGAGGCGACTGTGTTGCACCGCAACCGGAATGGCGCCTCGGTCCCATGAAGCCGATCGAAAAAGTATGAAGCGAACTGACACGGCATTGGCTACGCTTCGGTTCACCGAGGCACCTACGACATTAACGTCTTGGGGAATGCCGGCCGCTCGAAGCCTGCATTCGCTGAGTCGACTGGTCGCTCGTCGGATTCACTAGGCCGTGCAAAACGTCCCGCCCAGCCGGCTGCGATGGCCAAAGCTCCTCAAGCCCGATGTCGCCCGCGCCTGGCACCAAGCCTTGCAGAGTCCGGAGAGCCTCGAAAACATGTGGGGATGGGAGCAAAGCGACACCAGGCAGCCACGGCCAAGAAGCCCCTTGCCGGAGGTGTGGAGTCGGGTGCCTGTTGTTTTCTGTTCGCGTTTCTGCGTGCTGCCAGGACGGCCTCTGAGGCCAAGCGACTCCACGCGAGAGAGCCTCGCAGCTGCAGTTGCAGCTCGAAAGAAGGCCATGAGCGAGTTGGAAGCTTTCCAGCAGTTCGTGGCACATCCCTGTGTAAACGCTGCCCGCAATCGCCCATGCCTTCACTTGCAAACTCAGGGTGGCAGAAGGCCGCCGAAGGAGACGTTGCCGTTGCCGAAAGAGACGCATCAGAGAGAAACTGAGATGGTGGTGGGAGGCAGGTGAGCACTGTCTACTGAGCACTCAATCGGATTGGACGGCAGCTCCCCAGGCACTGCCTTCACGGTTCGTCGTCTTGACGAAGGCTTCCGCTCCGACTCCCTTTCAGGCCAATCCGAACCAAGTGGGCAAAAAGCCGCCCCTGACCTGAGGCGATGAACCTCCGAAGTCGCTGCAGTCAATGCTCGCATTCTTGGACGCAGAGGCTGACTCTCCGGCTGCAAGAATCGGGGTTTCAGAAGCAAGTTTGGCCAGGGGGGTGTCGTCGTCAAGCCAAGGCCAATGAAGCAGGCGAAGCCTGGCAAGCGGACTACAAGCCGGAGCTTAGACAGCATCTTGTCCCAACAGCTTTGTTTGTTGATGGTCAGGCTGCGGTTTAGACTGCAAAGTCTGATGAAGCTGGGGACAGATGATACTGGAGAGTATGTGTACTGTCACTGGCAGATCTACCGTTCCGTAGCATGCAAGGCAGAAGCACATTCCTCTGACCCGTGGCAAAGGCGCTCGGAAAATCACAAAGGTTGACGATTCCATGATCTGCTTGCTCTTTACTACAACAGTTCAGACTCTGTGAGAGCGTCCTGCATTGACACGGTGGCTATGCTGTCCAGGCTTCGACGACTCGCTTTCCATTTCGGAGGCAGGTTGCCGAGAGGCTCTGCACACTGCCGGTTGACTCCATGGACCCTATCGAAGGTGTCTGTGCCAAAGGCGCGCATGGTTCCAGACAGTTTCGAAGTGAAACAGGAGAAAGCTCAAAAGGCCAGGCATGCATTGCCGTCCCTAGCGGAGCCTCTCACAGACTGCAGCAATCAGTTCAAGGGCGCATCGCTGCAGCCCCGTGCAGGTTGCAGAGTGCCCGCCTGGTCCGCCGGCAGAGTGGTCCATGGAGCAGGCGGCCAATCGCAGACGAGAGTGATGCTTTGTAGGCAGCCTTAAAACGTTCGTGCAAGGTGCTTCAATTCCTTGACTTTCTGGGACTCGGCCGCTGTGCTCAGTTCAGCTAAACGCATCTAAACGCCCCCCTGCGAATCGAAATCCCTGCCAGCAAGGACACACAGGTGACAAGTTCAAGGACTTCGTTTCATGCAAAAAAAAGGCCCATGGAAATTCAGAGCCAACAAACCTTCAGCCCCCCCTTCGGAGACGCGAGGAGAATGCGGTGGACGGGCCAATGCTCGCGGAGCTCTCCGAGGAGGAGCTCTGCTCAGAGCTGGGCCTGCTCAAGCTGCAGGCGCCTGCGCGGGCCGGACCCTTCCCCAAGAAGACAACAGAATTATTATTATGACTGTTATTATTGCTTATTATTATTATTATTCATTTTAATATTATTATTAGTATTATCAATATTATTATTATGATGATTATTGCTATTAGGGGGGGCGGTGTGTTTTTGTTAGCATCCGGAGGCCAAGAAGCTCCTCTCGCGGCTTCCGCGTCTTGCCTGCAGGGACGTGGGCTAAGTGAGCTAACTGCTTGCTCTCTTCTGGCCTGCCTTCCGTGAGGCGAGGCGACTAGATTGGCGCACGCAGTCTGGTCCTGCGAGACTGCAGCTTGAGCAAAATCTCGGCCTGCCCGCAATGCGAGAGTCGTTGAAATCTTTCTCGAGCACTGGTGCCGTTGAACATGCTACAAGTACTGGCAGGAGCAGTTCCAGAAGATGCACACATTTTCAGCCACGCGACGCATGTTGATGGAAATTCGTCAGGCAGGCTTTTTGCCGAGTTCCAGAGGGTTCATGCATGCCCCGATCGAGTATGAGCCACAGATTGAAATAGCCACAAGATGTCTGAATGCGAGGCTCTTGATGAGGCCTGCCTCAGAGCGACATACTGCACGGCTTGCTCGGCTGTCGTTGCAGTAGACGAGGGAAGCCTGCACCGTCGATGCGAGGAGCGTGACATTGAGGTGTCCATCATCCAGGAGGTCATGGTCACAGTATCGCCAAAATTTCAGAACTGGATGTCCAACCTTCGACACGGACAGGCCCTGCAGAACGGCGCTGATCCGAATGCCAGAGAGAAGGAGGTACATGCACGAAGCAAATCGGGATCTCTTGCACAGAGCTTCGAAGCTCTGCGAAGCGCAAGGAGACTGCCGAAGACGAAGCTCTGGGGCTCACTGGGCTGGCTCTGCTGGCCATGAGCTCGTTGTCCCTCCTGGCGAAAACGGGGGATTCCGATGATTTTGAGGCCATGTGCTATCGCTCAAGCACCGAATCTGTGACGAAGGGCATCGAAGCTTTGCTTGAGGCCAGGTCCAGTGATACTTGGTGCTGGCTGTCGGTGCTTTTGAGCCGGTCAGCAAGCTCATTCTGAGCCACTCTGCAGGCGCGGGCAGATCTGGAGACGGAGGCTCGCAAGACTGCACGTCACGAATAAGGCGCAAGAAGGAGCAAGCTTTCAAAAGGTGGATGATGGAGCGACCCCGCTCCTGCCTGCTGCCCAGAGCATCCCAGAGCACGTTTGTCAGTCGACCTTTTGCATCCAAAGAAGTTGTCCGTGACCATCCGTGACCACACGCCCTGCCGAGGGTGGCCCTGCGGCACCGAAACATGACGGCCCTCGAGGCAGGACTTCTTGCCTGGCGTGACCGTCTTTCTTCGAGAACGGCCCTCGCACAGGTCCTGGCGAAGGCTAGCGCCGAAGGCGACGCAGATGGCCCTGTAGATCCCTTGAAAGCGCACTGCCTGCACTGAATCCAGACTCCAAACTCGGAGAGGCCCTGCTTCGCCTGCACCACGGATCGCGACAGAGATTCTGGACGAGGCTCTTCTTGCACTACTCGAAGCTTGGAAACGGTGCTATCGTACTGAAGAGTTTAAACCTAATAAATTTGAATGCAGCATGAAGCGTGGTAAACAGTCTTGTATATTATGGTCGAATGTTTGAGTGCAAACTCACGTTCTGAAGCTCTGCCCTGCGACAGCCGGGTTCAAGGTTCGGCCGCATCAGGTCATCTCGAACCTGCCTTCCTAGCTGCGGATCCCGAGGCCATGACTGCCGAAGACGTGGGTAAACTCTTCGATTCTCTGCGCGACGCGGTGGTCTCAGCCTTGGCGAAGCACGACGAAGAAATCGAGAGCTTAAGTGCAAAGTGCATTCGAAGAACCGCATGCACTTCTGCGCGCAAGCTTTCGATTTCTTCATCGTGCTTCGCCAAGGCTGAGACCACGGCGAAATCGCCAAGATGCATGGCGAGATCAAACTACTCCAGAGCCGTCAGTTCGACCCGCAGCATCCGCTGCAACTGATATTGGATTCTAAAATCAGTTGGAGCGGGTGCAGCGGGTCGAACTGGATGTTCAAAGCCTCCAGAAGGAAGTGCGTGAGTTGAAAGAAGACGCTCGTGAGAGTCACGCGACTCGGGAGGCCCTGGTTGCTCAGCGAGAGGCACCACCTAAGCCTAAGCAGCTGGAGAAGCAGCCGCAGCACCTGAGCTGCCTGATTTGCAGTGAATCGAGAAGGCTTGCGCGGGCAGCTCTCCAAGAAGTGTATGGTATGGTGGCGCAGCGCACAGCAGCGGAAGCACCGAAGCCGTGCCCCTACCTTGCTCAGAGCAAGGTGGGTGGCGCCTTTGGGTACAGCTATGTTGCTGAGCACAAGCCGAGCCAATGATACAACACAACATGAAGTGCACTAACGTGGGCATGGATGTTCATCAAGGGCCTTACTACGCAAGACGGGACATCGCAGGTTTCCTCAGGGAAAGGTGAGTGCTTCACTGTGGTCGAGGAGCACGGCGCAGCGCACCTCGGCGAAAGAGGAGCAGAAATGGAAATGCCATGTCTGCTCCTCTTTCGCCCAGGTGCGCTGAAGCCCTGAGCCTTGTTCTTTGAATCCCTCCCTGGGTGGAGTTGGAACAATTATCCGGGCGGCTCAAGAGGCTGGGTTCTGCGTTGCCTTGCGACAATGTGCCATATCATTGCTACTGCTGTGTTTTTCCGGGTGCTACACTGCTACACATGTTTCCAGCCCTGCGACCCTTCAGCAGGAAGACATCGCCTGTGGTAGACTATAGACTCAAAGTTTCAAGTTGGCCAATGTGCCTAACACGAAAATTTGCTGACAAACATTTGAACGGCCGCGCGCACCTGCAGGTGCTGTGGACAAGAAGTGTCAGCAACTGTGAAGTTTCAACTGGAACATTTGTGGCAATGCGATTTCCGTTGCGACATTAGTAGTAGACACTTAGTAGGCACAAGGTAGACACAGCTCTTCTGGGATTTTTGTAGAGAGACTTCTTGAGCTTTTGCAATGGCAGGGGAGGGTTTGGAGACGCGGCCAAACTCTGCTGATAGTCAGGGTGGCATGGAAGGAAGTAGGGGGAGGGCCATGGAATCAGGGGCCACATCTTGGAAAAGGGTCCCCCCCAAGATCGGCCACTAGTCTAATCTAAAACACAGTTCACGAAAAGAATTTAACGCAGCAAAACTCGGATGGGGGCCGATCAAGACACCCCAGGCCGCAGATGCTTGTCGGAACATGCTTGCAACACTGTTTCGAATCCGTGTTTTTGTGACTGCCAAAACCGTCGTGCCTCGCAACTAATCATAATCACAACTAGTCGCATTTCGTAATTAGTCATGGCATTCAACAGGAGTAGCTTCGATGCGCTGGATGTTTGGTACACTGGCCGCATGGCTGTGCCACGATGGAGGTCAGCTGTTTGTCGGAAGACTCGCGCCGGCTGCATGTCGAGGACGCGCCGTTTCTCCTCTCTATGTGGGACACTTCGCTGTAACGGCCGGAAGAGTGCAAAAGCGCAGGAACTTCTGCGGCCCGTATTGCGTGGCTGTGGTCGCGGGCTGGCACCGCTTCCGCTGTGGACCTGGGTGGAGCATGGCCCCGGCCCTCAGACCCGGAAGCAACGGCTGAGACCTCCGCCGCTATCCGCCGCTCCGCCTCTTTCCACAGGTTCGGTCGCAGCGGTCGAAGCACTCCTTCGAAGCAGTGACGAGGCAGCCGGAAGCTCAGGGAGGCTCAGGGCACACATTGGCACAGCTGCGTTCTGTACTGTTGGTGGTGTTGGAGGTCTCGGTGGAGGATGTCATCAGCTTGCAAAGATGCCGTGTCCATGAGTCCATGCCGCAAATCCAGGAGAGCACTTGTCTCTCTCTCTCTCTCGCTGTCTTCGGCGACTTCTATCTGCTTGCCCGCTCTCCCCTTCAGAGCAGGAGCTCCTGCAGCGCAAATGTGGCGAGGAGGCGGGTCCTCGTAGTAGTCTTAGAAATCCGGAAAAGGTGAACGCTTTCTTTCAGGAGTTCTCCAGGCTGCAGACAGAAGCAGCCACGCGTCGGCTGCTGCAGGACGCCGCGCACAGACTATCCTGAAGCCAAGCCGGACGTGTCCTAAAACTTCCGTGAATAGAGGGTGAGCGCCAGGAACTCCGTGAGGCTTTCGATGACCAGCGTGATGTGACTCGGTTGGAAGATTGACTCTGCACAGCCGTTGCTGCATCACTGCATGATTCCTGATGCCTTTTCAACCGTGGAACTAACGAGATGCCCGCAGGTGGATCTGATCATCGTGCAGAACAGCTTGGAGCTGCATGCCGATCCAAACGCCCAGGCCGTTGCCCTTGCGCAGTCAAGTCTGCTACTAGTACTCGCTTCTCGCGTCCTGTGGAAGGAAGAGGAGGCAGAAGATGGTCCTGATTTCCAGGAAGTCGCTTGGCTTTGCAGTCTTGTGCAGTGAGCTCTCGCTTGAATGTCTATGAGTCCATGAGTCTGTGATTCACCCAGGGGAGCTACTCCCTCTCTGCATTGCAGCTGCTGGTAACAAATCTGCACGTGGCATCGGAGCCTCGCCAAAGCACATTTAGAACCATGCGATGTTGGGTGGTGCATCAGTACCAGAAAGTGCCACTTGTAGCATGCGATTGAAGCCTCGCATGCCCTTTTGCCGCATAGTTTCAGACTCAGTTCCTTCCTGCAGGCTTGTATCCTCGTCAGTGTAGTGACATGACCCTGCCAACACGACTCGTGTGTTTTCACGGGATATCCGGCATGCAATCATGGTCTGTTTCTTATAGGCCAACGCACGCAAAAAGGCTTTGGCCATATCATCCCCGGAGAGAGCAACTGGCACAAATGCTAGACTGGACGTGTAGTCGAAAGCGTCGCATGTCTGAGACGGTGCTCATCATGCTGAGGACACGATGCAGAAAGCAGTTGCAGCACTTGTGGAAGCAAAGGCGCAGGCCAGGTGGCCTTCGTTTCGGCTTGTCTGCTTGAGGCCGCCTGACATTGAGGTGAACGCTGATATTGGAAACGATACGCCTCTCCTCTCAGCATTGCAGAGTCGCTGCGTGAACGGTGTTACGGCTTTGTGCCCGAAGCTCAGAGCCGTCGGGGTGAAGGTCTTCCGATCTGAGATCCACACCCAGCCTTTGAGACGGAACGCCTTTACCTCCAATGTTCTTGGACTGGGCAACCCTACTTGTAGCTGGGATGCCATCGCGCGTTGCGCCTGGAGAGACGACTGCAGAATAGAAGTCGGTCAAGGCCAGCATGGGGCCAAAGTCTCTTCGGACTGCCTTGACGAGCTCAAGACGATCTCGAGCAGTAAGGCTTGGACTGCTCCTGGCTGGGAGCAGAGGTTTGAGGTTCCCAGCAGAATTGCCAGGTCCGGCATGCACTCGAAGATGTGCTGCAGCCTTTGATCGGAAAGGCCTCAGAGCCTCCGAGCCTCATGTCGCATCAGCCGTCACGCTGAGACAGGACAAGCGACTCCGGTGTCCTCTCTGGATGTGGGTGCAGATTGGCGCTGTTTCGGCAGCAGAGGCCATTGTGCGAAATGCCTCGCACGATGAGGCGTGACAACGACAATATCCCCGTCATGTGCAGCACTAGACATGTGGTACTTGTAGGAAAGCCGCTGCCGGGAAGCAAGCTGTCAGGAAATCGACGTTGACGTTCTCGTTGCCTTGCAGCGGTGCCGTGAGCACTCGGCCAAGGTCGCCTCTTCCTTGCTTTGTTATTTAGATCAGCTGAAGATACGTGCCGCATCAAGCTCTGCAGCAGGAAGAGATCACAAGCCTCTTGCAGGCCCTCGCGATCTGTATGAAAGCCAGCAGGTTTTGTAGGTGCAAAACCTTGGGTTGTCAGGATCACCTCGGTGAGGAGGAATTCAAGAGACTTGAGGCTGCTGCAGCAACTCGTCGACTCCTGATGGAACTGCGAGAGGCGGCATCGATCCAGCACGAAAAGTCCGAATTCAGATCCTGTCGCAGGCTCACACCGAAGAGCGCGAGCCAGAGTTGGACATCGTTTGCGAAGCGCTTGCGCAAGGCCGGCTCGGAGCAATCTTGACCCTTCGAGTTTCGATGCACGCAGGTGCCAACCCAAATGCGCAGGAGGAGGCATGTGAGTTGCGTGTCTACAGGATCTTCGCTTTCTGGTACACAGTCTTTGCACAGGACGAAGAGGAGACAGACGAGGAAGAGGGGGAGGTGGGGCAATTAACCCACTAAGTCACTCAGTCCTCAACTTATGTAGACGACTTGGAGTCTTTCTTTGCGAGGACGAAGAAGACGAGGCAGGAAGCATGGAGGAGGACGAGGAGCCGCGTGGTGGCCGCTCTGACAGCTATCTGCCCGCAAGTCAGCCTTTCTTAGGACGGAGATGAGGAGGACAGCGACAAGGACCTTTCACCGGTGGCGCAGTCGGTGGCAGTCTCTGACGATTCTGACGTAAGCGGCAGGAGGATGGCGAGACGGAGCCAGAAGGCGAGTGGGATGAGGACGACATAGGATGACCAGCGCTCAGGAACTCCCCTCCGTCGTGTTCGTGGCCAGGTTCAGTTCAGATAGCGGGAGTGTTGCATCCACCATGCAAACGCAAAGAAGCCATTTTGCCACGGCGGCTGCATAATTACAGAAGGCAAAGCCTTCGCAACAACCTCGTCACAGGGTCGACTGGCCTGCTGACACATCTGAAAGATGAAAAAAAAATGAAGCACGTCAGCAGATGCCAGGCGCACTTGACAATTCCCGTTTCACTCATAGTTAGTTTCAGCCAGCCCTTCTCAGTCGAATGTGCTGTTCGACACGGGCAGTTACAGACATTGTGGAGAGCAATCACCTAGTCGCACCTTCATGCCAGAAGTATGTCAGCACATGCTTTGCAATTGCCACAAGCTTACCA